ACGCAAAATTTCTGTACGCCTGATACGTTCAATGATTGCTGGGAGATTTGATTCAAGAAGAAATAAAACAAGGTTCAATTCCCTAGCGTTTAATTAATCGTTTTTGGCCACCTTGCCGGTATCAAGAGTACATCAAACACGATATTTCTGTGCGCCTGATACGTTCAGCGATTACTGGAAGCTTTGATTCAAGAAGAGCGTTCTTATACAAATTTAAATCTACCTTTTACCTGCGTTGTACATCTGATATGATCAATGATTACTGGAAGTTTTAGTTCATGAAGACAAATCATTGAACTTCTCTTTCTTAGCGACCAAAAGCAAACTTTAATCACACATTTCTGGTCCAGGTGCCAGTATCAGGAGTACACCAAACGCCATATTTTTTTACGCCTCATAATTTACTGGAAGGCTTGGTTCAAAAGGATATAAAAGAGGTTTCAATTCCCTGGCGCGACTAAGTAAATTTAGATTTAATTAAACTTTTTGGCTACGCTTTCAGTATCAGGAATACATTAAACGCGATATTTCTGTACGCCTGATTCATTCACCGATTATTGGTAGATTTGATTCAAGAAGATCTCAATCCCTCAATTACACAAATTTGAATCTAATTGAACACTTCTAGCTACGTTGCTGGTAGGTATCAGGAGTACATCAAACGCTAAAGTTCTGTACGCCTGATACGTTCTTCGATTACTGGAACCTCCGATTCAACAATATAAACCAATAGGCTTCCATTTCTAAGCGTCATAAAGCAAATTTAAATATAATAAAACGTTTCTGGCTACTTTGCCGATATCAGGAGTAGTACACCATAAGCGTAGTTCTATACGCCTGATACGTTCCTTGACTAGTGGAAACTTTGATTTAGGAAGACAAACTCTTAGATTTTAATTCCCTAGCGTTCTTAGGAAAAACTGACAATTTAATTAACCGTTTCTGGGTATGTCGCCGGTATCAGGACACATTAAACATGAAATTTTTGTACGCCTGATACGGTAAACGATTACTGAACGCTATGTTTCATGAAGATAAACGAATGGATTTCAATATCTTAACGTCCAAAAATTTAAATTGAATCAAACGTTGCTGATACCAGGCGTTCATGAAACGTTAAAGTTTTTTACGCCTGCTACGTTAATGGATTACTAGAAGCTATCATTCAAGAAGATTTCAATCCCTAGCGTTCCTAAAGAAATTTAAATCTAATCAAACGTTTCCCGCTTCGTTGCCGGTACCAGGAGTCCATCAAACGCAAAATTCTGCAGCCCTCATACGTTCAACAATTATTAGAAGCTTTGCTTCGTGGAAGATTTCAATCTCTAGCGTTCCTAGACAAATTTAAATCTAATTAAACCTTTCTAATTTCGTTCTCTGTATCAGGAGTACTTCAAATCCAAAATTTCTGTACGCCCGATACGTTCAACGATTACTAGAAACCTTGGTTCAAGGGGAGATACAACAGATTTCGATTCCATAGCGTGATTCATTACATTTAGAGAGAAGATAAACCATATAGATTTCAATTTCCTACCGTACTTAAGCATATTTAAATTCAATAAAACGCTAGGAGATGAAAACAAGTTTCAATTCCCTCGCGTATTTACGCCTGATAGGTTCAACGATTGCTGGAAACTTTGATCCAAGAAGCAAAACCGATAGACTCTAATTTCCTAACCTTCTAAAGCAAATTTAAATTTAATAAAACGTTTCTGGTTACTTTGTCGACATCAGTTCTGTATGCCTGATATGTGCCTTATCAAGTGGAAACTTTGATTTAAGAAGATAAACTCACAGATTTCAATTCCCTAACATCCTTACTAAATATTCAATTTGATTAGACGTTTCTGGCTCCTTTGTGGTATCAGGACTTGGAGTGAAAAATTTCTGTACGCCTGATACGTTCAACGACTACTGTAAGCCAAGGTTCAAGAGGAGATAAAACAGGTTCAAATTCCGTAGCGTCATTTAGTAAATTCAGATTTAATTAAACGTTTTTGGCTATGTTGCCAGTATCAGGAGTACATCAAACGCGATATTTCTCTACCTGTCATCTTTCAACAGTTATTAGAAGCTTTGATTTAAGGAGATTTCAATCCCTAAAATTCTGAAGCAAATTTAAATCTAATTAAATCCCAGATGCGTTGCCGGTATCATGAGTCCATCAAACGCAAAATTCTTTACGCCTGATAGTTTCAACGATTACTGGAAGTTTTGATTCCCATCCTGGGCGTTCTTAGTAAATTTAAATCTAATTGAGCGCTTCTGGCTACGTTGCTCGTATCAGGAGTAGATTAAACGCGAAAACTTCTGTACGCCTGATACATTCATCTTTTACTGGAAATTTTGATTCATGAAGATAAACAGATAAACCAATGGACTTCAATTTCTTATAGCGTCCAAAAGCATACTTAAATTCTGGCTACGTTACCCGTATCATCAGGAGCACATCATATGCTAGGGAAGTACGTTAATATCAGGAGAGTAGGTAAAGATCAAAGCGTTGTATGTCAACCAATACCCTTGCACTGCAAATACAATTTTACAGAAGTATCAGGAAGACATAAAATTGCAAGTACATCCAATCAATTGCCGGCTGGAGTATTTAAAATGGTTATCAGGAGTAAATACATGCTCAGCTCAGAAATAATGCCTACATATAGTGTTTACATCTCGCAAATACACACCAGCTAGTTGGGTGGGACCCAGACGAGGCGATCAGTTCATCAAGGCTTCATTTATGCTCTCCTAATACGCGACTTTCTTTCGAAAATTTCAAATACCTTCTTCCGTATTATGTTCTCCTATGTTATACCAAGATCACAGAAATACAAGTTATTTTTGGACATATTCTATACCGTATATTATATCAGGCTCACAAAAATGTGTAATTGTTACTCCTCCCGTTGTTATTCACCAATTACTTTTTCTAGAGAGTTAAAATTAGCCTTAATTGGTTAAAATGTAACAATTAATTATTAATTACACAATTCAATTAACTAGTTGTACTTAAATTGGATTAATTCAAAGAAAAGGCGAGTGCATGTACAATTCCAATGCGTAAGCAATTTAATTTAGAATAAAAGTAAACTGATTGGGCGAATTACTAATTTCATTACACTCGCAAGAGCAAAGTGCTAATTAATTATTTGTAAATCGACGTACGTATCTTGCGAAACACAAACAATTATGCACAAATGCTAATTATCTAGTGTCCAAATAATTAAGAATCTCCCCGAACTTGTAGTTAATTTGTAATTATAAATTACGTATGATTCTTCATGATAAGTGGTTTTAAATCAGAAATCAACGCTGACTAATTAATTATTTATAAAATTACTTATACCTAAATAACGGGAGAAACTAATGATCCCACTATCAGACATATCTAACGATTGAAGAATTATTAAATTAGTAATGTATTATAGAATTACATATAACATAAATAAGGAAGAGGTTCATACTCGCTTCTCGCAAAAATTCAGCTCTATTGAAACGATTTCGCTGTTTAGTTAATTGTTGATTTAATAAACTTACCAGCCAATTAGTAATTGCATAGGTAATTTCCAAATTAATTAATTGCGGCCCATTAAAATAAACAATTCAATCCACGCGGATACTTGGTATTAAATTAAGAAGTGAGTGTCTCTGTGATTTACAAGCGACTAATTAATTGGTCGTAATTACTTTACGAAATTGCCCGTTCGGAATTAATTGCACACATCGCTAATTATTATTACGGTTATTAGCTTTTAAATTTCGGTGCGAAATTTCCAGACTTTAATCCACTAAGAATTGCAATTCAGCTTTTTATACCTAACCGAAAATTGGTAATTTTAATCCATGTCTTCAGTTTTCTTTCTGAAATCAGGCGTTTTTTTCATATCTTAGTGACAGGAAATTATCTACGGAAAGGAATTTCCAACGTGGAAGTGCGAACTTTAATTTAATTAAAGTGTAATTAGGCGTTTCGCTAATTTAATCTAATCTAATTATATTTTTGCTGGATTTACCATACAACATTAACAATCAGCAACAAACCAATTTAATTCAGTTCGTAATTAATTAGGTTTCGATCGGCAATTCTAACGTAATTTTACATCAAAGTGGTAATTTTGCTAATTTAATCTAATCTGATTACGTAATTTAAATTAGCGAACTTCTTATAGGCTCACTTGACAAAGCCGTAATTGGTGAATGATTGTTCAAGCCGAAGGAAAATTTCGGTGCGTGAATTCCCATCAGCCTTTAATTGAAATTAAAGGTAGACAAAGTCAAATCGCATGTGAAATAAATAAAATCGAACATGATTTATTGCTAATTTCTCGTACGTTTGAATAACGCGTTCGTTTCGTAATTTATTGCCTTATATCTCGTAACGTTTTGGATATCGGCTCGCCATTTTTTCCTACCCCGAAATGTGCCCAAGTACTTAAATTCAATTACGCGCGAATTAGCGGAAATCAATCGATTTCGTTCGGCGGCGGCGCGATTTTTTTTCAGCAAATCTAAACGTAATTAACGTTTTGATTGCGAGAGAATGGTGTTTTGATTTCGTTATTTAATTTATGCTCGTTCCCATGCCACGGGCGCCATTTTTCTCTTTCGCGCGCGCGGCGGACGAGGGAGAGGAAAAAAAGCGACACACGCGTAATTAATTTATCGAATCGAAGGAAAAATTTTCGACGGCGACGACGACGTCGCCGCGCATCTCACCTCGGAAAAAGGTGAGACCGGCGTAAAAATGCAAAACAGTAGCGAAAAACGCGGAGGAGAAAAAAAAGGATAAGAAAGGCGCGCGGCATGGGAAAAGGGTCTTTGGGACCCCGTGGAATAAGTGCGCTGGCAGTGCCGTAGGTGAACGATAAGCATCGCGAGCTGATGGCTACCAGAAGGAGGCGCGTCGGGTGGGGGGCGTATCGGACGTCGCCGATTGGCGGATCGGGCGGGTGGGGAGAAATCAATGGGAAAACTAGGGGGCATCGGCGCCACTGGAATGGGTTGCCAGTTTGTTGCTATCAACGAACGTGAGCGATCGTGACAGACGAGGCTTCGCACCAGACTAAAAAAAAATTCGCGAGTTACGCGCGCGTGTAGTAGGTAGTACTGAGGACGGGCGCCACTGCATTTCGCGAAAATCGGAACGGGCGCGTGTGTGCGCTTCGAACCCCCCCGAGAAAAACCAAAACACAGTGTATTAGTGCGATAACTAAATATTTTGTGGGTGTAAAGTGCATTTTCCCATCAGGCTGGCTGCGTACCTGGACGGGGGGCCCGCCTGTGCTTCCGTGGGGGCCCTAACCCTAAGGGCCGGACTGGCTCATGTACCCCTTGGGCCTAATTCTTCTTTTATACATCACACGGCACACAACATAGGTATGCTCGTCCTCGCGACGGATCACACTGTATTGCTAATTACGGCCTAATTAACCAGTGTAATTAAGTGAAACAGAAGAAGTGTTAATTAGGTACCAATTAGGCGCAATTCTATTCAAACCCTAAATTTGTATACGTAATTATACGACAATTTCACTTGCGACTGTATAAAAAGTCAGTAAAGTTTTATGGACCTTGTCGCATAAAGCTCGAGGAATAGTGGCTGTTGCACTGTCGTCCGTGGCAACCGATTCCAAAGATCGGTAATTACTAATTAGGCATCTTTGTCCACCACAATTCAAAATTAATTAACACCGCGAATTAGTTTACTAATAAAATTTTGTAATTTGTTTAAAGGAAACATTCTTCCGTCGGGCCCATCCGATAACTATAGGTAGACAAAATTCAAAAACCGAACTGAGAACATTTTTTTGAAAAAGAATTGGGTTTGGCTTAAACTTGACCGGAAAATTCCTTATCGTACAAAGGTTTTCGAGTGTCTCTAAAAAAAGAACATTTTGTGATAATCGAGTCGAGGACTTAAGGTACTTAAATTTCCAGATTTCAAATTATTTTGAAGAAAAGAAAATTCCAAAATTTTGATCCGTCGGGGAGGAGGTCGTCGCATTGAATTTTCAATTCAAAAATAAAGAAAGCGTTTTTAAATTTTCAAAAAATTTGTAACACGGGTCGAAGACGTGTTGGTAACCTCTTTGTTTCGCATAGACCACAAAGATTTATGCCGGAGGCGCAAAATTTGGTTTTAAGAGAAAATTTGAAAATTGGCCTACTCGCCGGTACGGCGCCAAATTCAATTCTAGTACCTAATTAAGTAGATCTTAGTTAGAATTCAGAACCGAGTGCACAATGCGCCTTTGAGCAGGACAGCAGCATAATTAGCGCCTAATTAAAGAGAAATACTTAATTAGCGCATAATCACATTCATGATATTAACAATGACAATATTATCAATTTGGTCCTTTACTGCGCCAACTCGTGACATATGCATTACCGCATATAGTGGCGCAAAAGTATATTTAACGGCGCATAATTGTTACCTACCTTGTATAATCAAAGTTCGGTTAAAAAAACCGCAAAGTTTATTGTTGAGGGCATAGTGAAAGCTCGAATAATAATTAGAACGTACGCATTCTCGCGGCGGCGATTTTTTGCGAAAAAAATGTATCCTACTATATGGCGCACAATTGTATTTAACGGCGAATAATTGGTCCACGATAACTTTTTAATTAAAAATAGGCGATTGTCACATACGTAGCTCAAAGACGGTTGGTAAAATGTAAAACATCAATGTTCATATTAGAGCGCCAAGAAGCGCATAATTAAAAGTTCAAAATGTAATTAAATCTAAATCGCCTTCACAGTATGATATTGAGCAGGGCATAATTGGCGCACAATTTGATTAAATTATAATTAAAACTTAACCAGCATATTACAAATTTAGTTCATCTCTACACTAAGTGAAGGCAGGCCGTTAGAATTTATGGCGCAAAATTAAAATCCTTATTCAGTAGCGCATAATTGACGCCTAATTAACATAAATTTGAATTAGACTTTAATCACGGTCATGATATTAACCAAAATGGGATATTTCTGCGCTTTTGCAATTCATGTACAACGGCGCAAAATTTCATTCCCGGCGCATAATTGCTACTAGATACGTTGTAATTAATGTCTAATAATTCACTGTCATGAATTAATGAAACTTTTGCATAATGTAGATAGATACCTCTGAAGGAAACCGTGCCAGACAGCGCATAATTGGCCCCTAATTAAAGAGAAAAATATAATTAGCGCATAATCACACTCACGATGTCATGATATTAAAAATGAAAATTACCAATTTGGTTCGTGGCGATAGTATTTTGGCAACATTTGTATAATTTTGTGGCGCAAAAATCTTGTTTAAGGGCGCATAATTAGACACTTCCTAAAATTTGAGTTGAAAAAAGTAAAAAATTTAATGTTGACAGTACTCAGCACCACACAATGAAAACTCAAATATTAATTAGAACTTAGGTATCCTCGCGGCGACGATTTTTTGCGAAAAAACGCGTCCTCTTATATGGCGCACAATTTTATTTAACGGTGAATAATTGGTCTCCGATCACATTTTAATGAAAAATACGCGATTGTCACATGCCTAAGTCGAAGGGGGTTGCAAAACGTGAATTTTCATGTTAAGAGCGTTAAGCAGCGCATAATTAAAAGCCCATTAAATCTAAATTACCATCACAGCATCAAGAAAAAACTCAATCACGCTGTCGCGTTATAACGCAAAGTATTATTAAATGAGGCATACAAAAACTCAGTAATTTTGTCATTAAAAGTGGGCGACTGCCATAGGGCATGTTTTGGAGTTTAATTCTGACGACATTGAGCAGTGCATAATTGGCGCACAATTTGATTAGATTTTAATTAATCCTAATTAAATTACAAATTGAGTTCTTCGCTGCGCACAAATCAGGCAAATCGCCGAACTTGCGGCGAAAAATTTAAATCGGTATTCAGCAGCGCATAATTGGCGCCTAATTAACACTAAGTTGAATTAGACTTTAATCACTCGCGATATTAACAAAAATGGTAGAAATTAGTTACTTCTGCGTTGACGGTGTTTCTGCAATTCATGTGCAAAGGCGCACAATTTTATTTACCGTCGCATAATTGGTACTCACTACTAATAATTATCACTGTCATGGAATTTGAGATCAGTTAATGAAACTTTTGCATAATTTAGAGATAAATACCTAGAGACTCTGAAGGAAACCGTGTCAAGTAGCGCATAATTGGCACTTAATTAAAAGCGCACATATTAATGAAACAGCTGATGCTTGTCTTATAATGGCGCAAAATTTTACTTAAAAGCGCATAATGGGGGGCTGGGGCTCGGTAATAAAAAATTGACAACTGTCACAAGTTGCGTTGAGTTGCTTATATTTTTGAAAGTGAAAAACGGGTGTCCATAGCCCAATTTTGATGCTGCTAAGTAGCGCATAAATTGCGCCTAATTAAAACACTTGCGATACTAACAGAAAACCCGAAATGCCCTAGAAAGGCGATAGAGAACTAAGAAGAGGTTCAATAAAACTCTAGAAAACGACATGTAATACCTCAAACTGTTTTCAAAAATCATAGAAGGCCCTAGACAAATTTTAAGCGCTTTCCATTGTTTTTTTTGTAAACGGTGGAATTATGGATATCTTTGTGTTGATTTTAAAAAGAAAGACTAGTATCAGGAGATCAGATTCGCTGAGAAAAGAGTGTCGAAACATTTTCCTCGAGCACAGAAAAAACCTCCCCGTTAATTATGCTTTCCTGGTAAAAACAATTTCTCTGTGAATTACGGATGGGATTCTGATGCAAATTACTTAAAAAAAAAACTCTCCTAATAGAAATTATTATAATAGAATCATTGCAGCAAGATTGCAAGCACAGACACCTCCTTACTTGTTATGTTCACCTAGTATAACATGTTTTTAAGAATCACTGCATTAGACTCACAGAGAAGTAAGAGGGTGTACAATTTACTGGCAAACTTCTCCCCACTTATTGTTCTCCCGAGAGAACTTTCTTTTTTAATAATTACTGTATCAGGTTCGCAGAGTCGCTAGGAGATGTTCAATGGATTGACGGACACCTCACTTATTATGATCTGATATAAATTACTGCTCCATCAGGGCCAAACAGTCGCAAGAAAGCACACACTTTATTTTCACGCATTCTGTTCCCCTGATATAAATTTTTGTTTTAAGAATTGTTGCGCCAGATTCGCAGAAATATATTAAAAAAATTCTTTCTTACGGTCTTGTGCCCCTGGACGATGAATTTATATCAACAATTCCCTATCCAAAGAAAATAACTATCAGGAGATTATATGAAAACTTGTGCTTATCGTTTGTGTTCTTGTGATCCTAATACCCACAAGATTTTTTAAGGAAAAGCTTGTATCAGGTGAACACAGCATGTAGGAACGTGTTTAACATTTTTTTTCGTTATTTGTACCGTTTTACGTTAATGTGCCCCTGATCCAAGAATGGGTACTATCATACTACAGTAGAAGATTTTTGATCATACTTTTGCCTAAGGTATTATATTCTCTTTTTTATGATTAAAAATCTCAAGAACTCAAGAATGTCGAGGTAAAAGCCCTGAAAAACACCTTCTTTACCATCATAATCTCCCGATACAAGTCTTTCGCTTCAAAAAGTGTTGCAATGCCATAGTGAGAGAAGCAAGTTTAAGTAGAAGTTATCAACTGACACCTTCTAAAGTATTATGTTCTCCTGATACAAGTCCTTTTTATGAATCAGATCACAGGAACCCAAAGCGTATAAATAGGTGGTAAATTCACACCTTCATTAATATCATAATCTCTCATGTACTCCTGAGATACGAAGACGGGTGCTCTAGATATTAGGAGCTCATTATAACACCGTGATACAAAAGATCCCGAAGGTTAAACGAAAATAAATGTTAGAAACATCATCTTGAAACAAGAACAAAACCTCATTTTCTAGTTCTTTTGACGAATACTTTGTGCATTACGGGTAGAAACACCTTCTAGTTCATTATACACTCCTGACACACGAGATTCCGATCATTATTACAAAAAATAAATGGTTGAAATGTACCTTTTGATTTCGCAAGACTCTTTATGCATGTTCTATTACATTGTCTTGAAACAAAAATTGTCCTTCGGAAAAATGATAATGTTCTCCTGATACAAGAGTTCTGGATGAAATTGATGCGATATCCTTCTTGATGAAGGAAGATATATCTCCTCTTGGATCATGTTCCCCTGGTCTTATACGCTCCCGATGGAAAAATTTCCGACAGTTTTTTCCCATCATTTTTGTGTCTTGTGATTCTAGTACATACAATGTGTTCTGTGTGTCTTCCTGTGCCCCGACCCAAGCATTTACACTGAAAAATTGTGTATCAGGAGATCATACTACAGAAGAAGATGGTTGATAATGAGTTTGCTTAACGTATTATGTTCTAATACAAACTTTGTTTTATGTATCAGGATCAAAGAAACTTAAGAATGTGTAAATAGGAGGTAAATTCGAGGAGAAACATCTTCTTTAATATCATGATCTCTTGGTCAAGTCTTTCCCTTCAAAAAATGTTTCAATGCATAGTCGGAGAAGCAAGTTTAGGTAGAAGTTATCAACTGACACCTTCTAATGCTCTCCTGATACCAATCTTTTGTTACGTATCAGGATAACAGACACGCAAGAATATGTAAATAAGAGAAACGTCTCCTTTAATATCGTAATCTCCTGATACAAGTTTTTCCCTTCAAAAAATGATTCACCATGGCAAGAGAAGCAAGTTTAAGTAGAAGATTCTAACCTAACGTACTATGTTGACCTCTTTATATGTATCAGGATCACAGGAATAATTCCTACTGAACAAAAATAATTCTTGATTCAACAATAATAGTTTTGATCTGTGGCCATTGCAGTAACTGGAGCCGTGTGCGGAATTTTTTCGAACGAAAACAATAAACTTCGAATTTCAATTAAAATCGAGAGCACTCATTAAATTTCGACGATTAAAATTTATCAGGCGATTCGCTACGCGCGCTAAAATTGAGCGAAAAAGCGGAAAATTCGGCGTGGTCGCGGGGACAAATTGAAAGTTAATTGGGCATTTCAATTTGGACAACAAAAGACCGTGTGCAGTTTCCAAGAAAGTTAGGTACCTACCTACATAATGAGGGGGTATTACGATACTAATCTCCTTAAACAATACTAATTATACACGCATTCTTGGCCACCGACCATTTTTGATTTGGGCCCGCGAGGCAACCGCGCGCGCGCGCCCCGGTTATTGTTTAAATAGTAAAGGGCCAGCGGGCGATCCCTGACGCACGCCCTCGACGGCCTCGCGCGCGCGCGCTTCTGATGGGCAACGTTTTTAATTTGCTGTTTTCTCTTAATTTTAAGGTCGAGCAGAGCCAGCCGCCGGAATGCTGATTGCTTGCGCCGGCTGTAACAAACCTATACTTGACAAGTTCCTACTAAATGTTCTTGAAAGGACGTGGCACGCTGATTGTGTAAGGTGTTTTGATTGTCATAAACCGCTGACGGACAAGTGTTTTTCAAGAGAAGGCAAACTTTTTTGTAGAGACGACTTTTTTAGGTAAGTGTCTTTTGATTCTGTTTTTATTTAGTCTTAAATTTTCTATATGTATTAGAAGTAGGGCTCATTATGCTCCCCTGATACAAAAATTCAACGAAAATATACCTCTTGAAATAAGATCTCCTTTATGTTCTCCTGATATCTGGAGAAGATTTTTTTGACAGATACTTTATGTATTAGGAGCGTTTACTCCTGAATGTAGGCGAAAAAAACTCAATGACTGAAAAAACCTGTTCTCCTAATACATTCTAGAAGGATAAAGTGCAAAAAAATCTACTATAGGAAGGCAATCTCGTTTATCATGTTGTCCTAGTATCCAGACCAAAGTTTCATAACTTTTCCAAAACATAGTCTGTGTATTAGGAGTAGAGATACCTCCTCGCTCATAATATTCTCATATGTTATTAAGTTCCCGATTTTTCAAGCAAAAATATATCGTTGAAACTGTCCACCCGCGGTTAGAAAAAAAAATCCTATCAGGAGCAGAGATATCTTTTCACTAATTATTATCATCCTGCCACAATCGTTCCCGAAAGGTTAAACCGAAATAAACTTAAGAAAATAAAATTTTTCGAGGTTAGAAAAAGAGCTCCTCCTTTATTATGTTCTCCTGGTGACCAGAGAAGGTTAAAAGAATTCGCCTTAGAACCAAAAAACACCAAATGTTCTCCTGGTAGAAATTTGAAAAAATTCCGATAGATACACTACGTGTTAAAAGCCAGGGACCTCCTCACTCGTTATATTATCCTGATACGAAAGTTTCCGACGGTGTATACAGCAATAAATTGTTGAAATGTTGCTTTCGATTTCGGAAAAAGATCTCGCGCATCATGTTTCCCTGTTATTTTCTCCTCATTGTCCTGATTCTTTCATGCAACATGTTCCCCTGCTATTAGATACTCCTGATACAAACATTCTGGAAAGAATTGTTGCGATGTTCTTGATGACGGAAAAGACCTCGTTAATCATTTCCCCATGATACAAAAGTGCCGAAAGGAATTGTTGCGATGTTCTTCTTGGTGTAGGAAGAAGACCTCCTCGTGCATCATGTTATATTCCTGATACAAAAATTCTGGAAGGAGTTCCTCTTGATGATGGATAAAGACCTCCCCGTGCATCGTGCTCATCTGATATTTTCTCCTGATACAAAGGTCCTGGCAGCAATTATTGCGGTGTTCTTCTTCACAATATTCGCCTGGTATTATACTCTCCTGATACAAAAGTTCCGGAAGATTAAAGCGCAAATAAATTTTCATCAGGTAATATTGTTTATTATAATCTCCTATTAGACAAACCAAAGTTACGTAACTTTATCGAAAGCATCACTAAAACCTCCTCGCTTATTATATTCTCCTGATAGATTTTTTCCTTACAAAATATGTTGTCGAAACCTTTCTTCTGGAACTCGAAAACGCCTCCTAGCTATCCAAAGAAAACTTTTCTTCCCACGTATAATCTTATGTATCAGGAGCAGGGATACCTTTTTACTAAGTACATTCTTCTGGTACAGAGGTTCCCCCTAGCTCTTTATATTCTCTTAATATGCAAGTTCATAAAAGCTCGAAGAAAAATAAATTGCTGACACAATCGTCCTGGAGTTAGAAAAAAACCATTTCGTTTAATACGCTCTCCTGCTCACCCCCAAAAATTCGTCCAATACATACTCTACGTGCTACCTCCTCACTCGGGATGTTATTCTGATACAAAAGTTCCAGAAGGCGAATGAAAAATAAATATTGCTTCAAAAAAGACCTTTTCGTTTAATATGTTCTCCTGCCATCTTTTGACGGATACTCTATAAACTATAAAAAGATCTGCAGGGACCTACTCTTTTATTACATTCTCCTGGTAGCTGTTTTTGTGATGTATTAGGAGCAGGGTTACCTTTTAGCTCGAATAATCCTGATACAAAGGTTTCCGACGATTTAAGTGAAAATAAATTGTTAAAGTACTCCTTTTAATGACGTAAAATGACCTCGTAGTGACTCATGTTCCCCTGGTATTACTTAGTCAGAAAATTAAAATACTTCCGTCGGCTACCAGAAGAATGTAATAAGCGAGGTATACCTTTTCTCCTTGTCTCCTTATATTCGTTCAACCTTCGGAGATTTTTGTATGAGCATACACAGACATTTTGTAAACGAAAAGGACTTAGTTTTGTTTCAAAAGATATAGTTCATACGCTCATTTTCCGTTAACCTTTCGGATCAGGATAATATAAAGAGTAAAGAGGTAGCCCTGCTCTTAATACGATGAAAATGTACTGGACTCCTAATACATAGACCACCTTGAAGTTTAGACAACTATTGTTTCAGTAAAATATAATGCGCGAGAAGATATCTGAGCTCCTAATACATACAGTACCTTTCGGAAAAAATCCCTTCTGGCAATCAAGAGAACATAATAAACGGAAAGGTATTTTTCTGACTTCAGAAGGACTTCCTCCTTTAGAATATTCTCCTAGCCAACCAAAGTACATTTAAAATTTATTTCTAACGTTTACTCTATGTATCAGGAGCATTATATTCTCCTGGAAAGGGAAAATAAATTGCCGAAACCCCCTCCCTTGAGATTAGAAAAAATGTATTATGTTCTCCTGATAATCAAATCTTTTTGGCAAATGTCTATGTATCAGCAGCAACAGACACCTGAAACTTTCCCTTTAAGGTTAAAAAAAATATCTCCTCGTTTATTACGTTCTCCTGGAATTTAGAAAATTGCACAGAGATACCTCCTCAAAAGTTTAGGGGTTTAAGGAAAAATACATTTGTAAAACCTTGCCTTGAAGTTAGAAAAAGACCACGTTCTTTGATATGCTCTCTCGATAGCCACAAAAAGTTCTAATACATACTCTACGTGTTAAGAGCATGTGTGGCTCGAAAAAGGAAGCGCATTTATTATGTTCTCCTGATACATACTCGCCCAAAATTTGAGATATTTTTCAGACAGATAATATATTTATTAGAACAGAAAAAATACCTTCTCGTCCATTGTATCGTCTTAATATAGCGTTCCTCTTGAGACAAAACCTCCTCCTGTCATGTTCTCCTGGTAGTCACGTAAATTGTTCAATAGATGTCGTACTGTAGCGGGAATACCTTCTCGCTGATTATATTTTCCTGTTTCCGACAGTTCTTGGGGTTACTAACTCGTCTTGTACTGCTGGGAACCACAAAAAGTGGGTATTAGGAGCACAGAAAGTTTCCGAAACTTTTACGGGTGGATGATTTATCTAGCAGGAGCATTAATACCTTCTCGTTTAAGCGAAAATAGACTAGAAAAAAACCCCTTCGCTGATCATGCTCCCCCGGGAGGGAACGAAAACTTTCTAAAATCCTTCCGACAGATGCTTTATGTATTAAGAGCAGAGAGTAAAATGTATCTCTATGTAATGGCGATCGGGTTGATTTTTGTGTTCTCGCCTAAAATGCGCGGGAATTTCAAATCGGTTCTTTTTGTGAAGTTGTTTGCGAAGTGGGTATCAGCGGGACTATAAAAAATAAGTCATCAAACGATTTAATTATTTCGGGCCGTAGGAAAACGAAAAAAAAAGCGTCAACAAAAGAAGGGCAGGCGTAGGTATAATAGAATTTGAGCGCGAAACCTAAAGCCATGTCGCTTGTAACGCGATACGCGTAATGAAATTCAAACATAAAACGGTCCCGTAGCACCTCTAAAACGATAACTTTTACACCCTTAAATCAGCTCTCGCTCTCGGGCGTCGCGAAACTACGGGGACGACATCCGTCGGCCGCGCGAATACGATAATTAAAATTTCGATCAATTGGGGGTTTCGGCGCGAAAAATGAGTCGAATTCTATTGGCTCGACGTTGGCGATCAATACGTCGCCGACGCCGACGACGCCGCAAATGGGGCACACTTTTTTGTTTTAGTTAACAATGTTTGTACAAGTCAGCGCATTTGAAGTTTGCAGTCAAAACAATGTCGTAAATTAAATGGCAACGCCTTTTGGTCTGTCTAATGCACCTGCGACCGATCGTCACGCGCGGTTTACCACAAGGATCAGTTGTAGGGCCACCACTTTTTCCTAGATCGCGTACCATCGCCTTTTGATTTCCACATGGCTGTGCAATCCTTCGAATTGTCTACCTCCGCGTACATAAAAAGAGAGATTGCGCTCACTCGACCGCGCCAAATTTCAGCAGCATTGAAGCGTTAAACCAAGCGAAACGCCAGTGGCCTTCACGCACGATTTTTCAAAAAATTAAAAAAAGGGCCACGTCGCCCGCTTTTTTCCAGACATACACAGCGAGATGTAAGTAACTGTTAATTTTTATTAAGATTTTTAACTGTTCCTGACGTTATAGAAAAAACTAATTAAATTTGGCGAACGTCTTAATCACGAAATTGTTCATAATTTTCGTAAGGAAATTAGAGTGACTTTGAGTTTTGTTGACGTTTAATTGTTTTAATTATACGCTCGGTTCCCATAGAATCGCGCGGGGGACAAGGGAGATTATGATAAAATTTGTAATTTAAATTACGCGAGAATAAATCAAACGCATTTTTTTTTATAATTTCATTCATAACTTACGACTATATAAATTATTCAGGATAGTGACCGATTTGTCGAACGCCCCCCGTACCCCCGAAAAAATGCTATAAATTAGTGGATCGACTGCTTTCTTCATTTATTATTCATTGTGTAAATTAATGTTAATATTTTTATTTTAAGCCGAGCGAAAAATTCTCATTTCAAAACCTTTCTCGCGAGCGGTGATTTATTTGTTGAACAAGTTTTTGTTGCTCTCTCTGTGCTTGCAATCATCTTCGAGATTTATTCACACAGGCCGTTGCGTGAACACACAAAATTAAATCATTCGAGGGGAGTTCGACATAAATCCCACTCGACTTTGTTTATATTTGGTTTAGGACAGTCAGATTTACTGTTTACATTGGAGCGAATTACGCTGAACTCGCCTTAGACTGACTTGCAATGTCTCCTAAGGACACTAAGCCCCCAGCAAAAAAAAAACTC